AACCCGCAGCTCCCTGCTGCACTGGCCTCCACACTGACTCCAGGGTGGAGCTCTCCTGACTCACAGGTGGGGCCCTGAACACATCCCACCACACTCTTCATGAGGGATGTACACAGGTGCACAATCAGGTGCTGGTCACTACCAAAGCATGGACCCAGGAATGGAGATTTCGTTCCACCCAGAGCTCTAAGAAATCTCCTGGCTCCAGGATCCCAACTAGGATCCAGAAAACCTGGAAAGAACTGAAAAGGCAGTTCTCTCCTGGTACACGTACTGTCTTCCTGGAGCCACCCAGCCCCTCTGGCTGAGAACCCTGGGTGACTTTGAGGCCACCTAACACCGTGGTATTGCCTCACAATGCCACAATATATATATATACTAAAAATGTGGCACTAGTTTGTGTAATTGTGAACAGTGTGGTGGTTAAGATCTTGGCTTACTAAATTATGATGTTAAAGCCGTCTAACCTGGTAAAAAAAAAATGTGGAAGAAGGGCAGCATGCTGAATTCCTGAGTGTACTGAAGGTCAGGATGTTTGCTGGCATTATGTAGTTTCCTGCCTATGAAATGGTCCCACCCTGCAGCAAACCTGGTAATATTCCTAAATGTGAAAATATTTTATGCATAGGCTGTTGTGGAATGTCATAAATAATAAATTCAGACTATGGGCTTGTGTAGTGTGCAGAACATAAATATATTTTTTTAATATATTTAGCTTTTTAAAAAAAATGTCCAGAGCATAGTATATTAAAACCCCATCTAATCCCGATCATTTATTTATTGTTTTCATATACTCAGCACTGTGGTCTTTATTTCTGCTGACCGTGTCCTTTTCCAGACAGAAGTATATTTTACTGGCATCCGGAATATTTACTGATTCCCTAAACTCACAGAGCCTCACAAATCAGTACTTTTGCACAGGAGCCAATTACAAAGCTGACACTTGGTACTTTCGGTCTGATTGTGTTATAGTCATTGCCATAGAGAGGAATTAAACTGTTACCTGCCTGAGGTCAGTATAATGCAGGCAACTTTTATGCAGAAACATTAGCTTAGGGAGCCTATATGTACTCTAGCTCCTATAACTGCATATCCTTAGAAATGCTTTTCTGTGCATTTTTTAGGGCTTTAGCACGATAGGCGTATATCACATTCCCCCAGACCCTCTGTTCATTCTTCAGACCCAGGAATCCTTACTTTGTTAGTGCCATCTCCAAGTAATGATGGCATCAGTGTTTGGGATTGGCAATTGGCCACTCAGACCTGGGCACTGAATCCTGTGAGGAGGATACATGCTTCCCCATACCCAAAAGTGCCAGATATTTACCAGGGCTGTGACAGAGCTGCCAGGCAGGGTGGGTATCAGCAGATGGGGAGTTTCTCTTACAAGATGACATGTTACTTTGCCCTTAATGAGCAAAGAGGCAGATTCCCTTTAAAAAGTAACTTCACCCATACTTTTAAGTAACAAAAAGGCATAGAAATGTTTAATAATGGCAATCTACAGATACTTATAGATAATTATAGGCTTTTTCTTCTTTGCATACCCTATTTCTTTTCCTCCCCATTGTTTTTCTTACAGTGGCCAATTTCACTAAGGGCAGATAAATCGATCTGCCTTTACTTCCTGGAACTCTGGGTCTGCCTCCTGGAACATATGACAGTGCACATCATCTTGAGATCTCAAGAGATTTTGCAATTTATAGATGAGATTTTCCAGGAAGGCACTAGTGATATAGTAAGGCCAGGGTTACATCAACAAAGCCTCATTCAACCAGGAAGTGAAAAACAGCAAATGTAAGTAAAAGCAAAAAACGTGTTTGTTTAACTAATGAATGTCAGGTGATTTCAAATCAGCATGCAGAGCTGTGATTTTAGTGAAAGTAAGCATGTGACTAAGGACTGCATCATCTGGATAAGTTGCAGTTGATTGCATTATATAATATTGCATATTATATCCGTTAGGATAACCCAAGGACTGCCCACAATAGAGCTACTTATTACTACTTAATAATACTTACTATAGTATTATGCTTGGAACAGCAAGTTTTGGTGTTTGTATGTACACCTAAAGACTAGACCCACTTTTTACATTGATAAGTACATTTTATGATAGTCTAGACTTGAACTGTTAAGATCTCTTTTGCCTATGAACTGCATTCTATAGTTCTCTCTGGCAGAAAAGGTGCAGGTACAGAAATAACATGGCCATATGTGATAAAACGAACATGGTATTAACAAGCTGACTGAATAAGCAACTGATGCATTGTAAATGTA